GCAGACAAATGGCATTGCCAGAGCCGTCATTCCAGGACGGAAGCCTCGCACACGACCCCAGTGACTTCCCATCCCAACCGTATTCTGTTCAAAGAGTCACTTCAAAGCGCGGTTTTAGAGCTCAGAGAAAGGGCTGGTAAACTAAGTGCACTCTTTCACTATCTGAGCAAGAACTACCAGCTGAAAAGGAATTTAAAACCTGTCTCTTTGTAGAAGCCAAGATTTTACATGCAAAGCACACCTGCACAGAGGAATTTAAAGCTCAGAACGAACAGAGATGTAGGCACTGCATATATCTGAGGGCAGAGAGAAGGAAGGGGGAGGAGAAACGCTTCAGATAAGGAAAAGGCAAGGAAAACCTCAGTACAGGTGCCAAACGTGGGACATGAGGAATCTTTCCCTTGAGCAAAGCTCCAATCCCATTAAGGTGACTCTCAATTTCCCCTGAAACCGGAGGGCTGTTGTGAGGAGATATGGACAACATTAGGTCATATGTGGCCCACAAACGGTTTTAAACTTCACTTTCTACTCTACTTTAAGCCAAAGCTCTCAGCAGAGAAACTTACAATCAGCCAAAGGGGCCTGAGTGAACTTCCGCGATCACGAGAAGGAGAGAAAGGAGAAGGTGTAGCTCACGATGGAAGCAGACCTTCCGTTTGATCAGCAGCGAGCCTTGCTCTTAGGTGGTAACAGCCACTCAGCCTTTCTCCCACTTCCCACTTGGGAGAAACCTGACATCTAACAACTTCTCTGACAAAGCTGTCTTTCTGAGAACACTCCCTCCGGAAGCCTCTGACCCCTTCTCTGGGCTCTGGGTCAAATCCAACTGATGAACTTGTCCGCTCATTGTTCTGAGCCCCTCTCAGCACAACACACAGTCAACTGACAGAAAATCTGAGAAATGAAAGTCAAATGCATACAGAAAAGCCATAAAGCACAGAAAAAGACACCTAAGATCATGTTAAATAGACCCTCAGAGGCATTTAAATGTTCTTTACTTACAAATGTTCACTGCACAAAATTTTCAGGGAGCCCCGTAAGCATGAAAACTGTAAAGCTGTGCCCCCCCGCTTTCCCACTGTTCCTCAGTCATGCTTTGGATCTAAGTCACACCTCTCCACTGCCAGCACCAGAAGTCTTGTCTGTTTATCTTTAACACTTTGCTGTAAAACAATGCTCTCAAAAATGAATTGCTTCTAAGTGAATTATCGTATATCTGTATAATAAAATGCCATGTAGCCAGCCAACATGAGGTTTGAGAATGTTTACTGATCTGGTAACATATTCACAACATATGAAGTAAAGAAAATAGAGGACAAATCACCACTTAAACAATGAATCCATTTTTCTAAAACTCAGGGCATAAGCAACGTGTGCCTCTGTGTGTGTACAAATGCACCACTGATGTAGGTTTAAAAGCACTGCAAAGACATGTACAAAATTATCAGCAAGGATTACCTTTAGGGGATGAGATTACAAATAAATCTTTTCTTCAATCTTTGTTTTGTATTCTTTACAATGAACACAAATTTCTTTTGTGCCAATTAAAAAAAAAACAGCAGAAAGCCCACTGTTTTCAGAGCACCCCAGACCGTGGGCATCACCCCTACCTGTTCCTCACGGAGTGCTGTACGCTGGAGCCTCGGCCAGGTGTGGGCCCGGATCCAGGTGGAAATGAGCTTTTTCGATCTCATTTCAGACCTCAACCCCTCACAAGCAGGATCCATCAGGAACCTCCTTGATGTTAAACTCCACTCTAGAGCAAGCGCTGTGACAATGGCCCTTCAGGCACTTGCAAGATGTACACATGTCCCCACAGCTATTTGCCCTCATGTGCTTTTAACATGTGCAAACCATCACACGTGGTTTACAAACTATCCCCAGGGATTCACTTAGGTGTGTCCAGAGACTTGGGGGAAAATGTTAGATTCAAATATTTTGTAAAAATATATAACGTTAATTATTCATAAAAATACGATTGAGAAATAACCTGCCTCTTATTAACACAGCTGAAACCAGAAAGGCACGACTTGACGCCACCCGATTCTCTTCACTCCACCTTGCCTGCCTCCCAGGTTTTATAATCCCTGTTCCACGTACCACCCTTGGAGAGAACTCGTGCTCAAGCTATGGACTGACTGATTGTCTGTCTCCCCCAGCAGGACTGTAAGCTCCAGGAGAGCAGAGACCTGTGTCCATTTTTCCCCTTCTGTATCCCCAGAATCCCAGGACAGCGTCTGGTACAAAGCAGCCAGACTTACAACACATATCCATTAAATGAATACCACATTCTAAATTCAAATCTATCGCAAAATTCTTACCAATAAAATACCATGTTTGATTATTTTCTATCATGGGGTCACTTTTAAGATTTTTTTTTTTGATGAAAAAAGATTTTTACTGCCATAGAAAAAAAAAGCTGTATAAAATGATAAGTTCTGGACACAAGTTGATGTGTTCGTTATAATTTGGAACTATTTATAGTGCTCAGCATAACACTCCGACAACCACCCTGATGACGCAAACCCAAAGGCCACACACTCTTTAGAAAAAGAGTCCCTGCTCCACCCACTCGGCTGCACACATATATACAATAATTATGCTCTGTTTTAAGAGGAGTTATTTTTAAGAATCTCCTCTGGGTTATACTGTAAACTTGATTAAAAAAACAAGGCCACCGAGGGCTTTCCTAAAACCGTTCCAGCCGTCTCTCCTAGCACTGACTCACTCTGAGATCATACATTTTGCCACGTGCATCTGTTCACTCAGCCCTTTTTTCTCAAGCCACAATTTCCTTTGAGTGCACAATTCTGTGACATCTTCAAATCACTCACACACTCACTAAACTGAGTATACCTCTTTGGAGATATGTAACAGACAACTGGTAACTTGTTGAGCCCAGCGCATCCACGTGTCCAAGCCATGGCGCATGCCCCACGCAGCCGACTTCTTCCTGATCAGTGAGTGCACAGCTCTTTTCCCCAGCACCCTCCTCCCTCCGTCCCACAGCACTTGGCACATACGGGGACTATTTCAGAGCAGCATCACCTCCAGGTGAGCATCACAGGCTGGATGTTCATTAGGAACTGATCAGATTTTTAGAATCCGAAAGCATCGACAAGGCCAATTTTTACATGTTTTTCTCTCAATGTGATCACTTCTTTAGCCTAATGATACTGCCTATCACATGAGGAGGAAAATCTGCAGAGTGATAATTTGATAACACCTTTATTCCCAGAGCTTACAAAATTGAAAAAGAAGTATCTTATAACAGCCTAGTCACAGCTGACTAATTTACTGGCTGCTGTTAACGACAGCAGACTTTTTAACCAAGGCACAAGTGTGTAGTGGTTTTTTTAAATTAATGTATGCTAAATCAAAATATATATAAATTGGTACTGTGACAGCAGAAATGAGAGCACTAGACAGAAATTATGGAGCTGGTTCAGCTGCATCCAATCCCACCTTGAAATCACCAAGGAAGTGTTAAGTCCAATTAAATTTTATACACTTTATATAAAAATCAATAGGAGGTGTTTTATTTCAGCCTTTGATGCTGGTGGTTCAAAGTGAGATGAATTTGCACACTTTAAAGTTCAAGCATTCTACCCACCTATGTGTTATCTGTAACCATATTAAAAGTAGAAACCAAGTTTTCAATAAAAATATAAAACATCCCCGCGTCACAAGCCTGCAAACAGAAAGACGAGCACCTGGAGTCAATAAAACAGAAAAATCCATCAGCTCTGCTGATCTGAATGGGTTTATATCAAAAGAAAAAAAAGCCCAAAAAACTTCTGCTTGGTAGGATTCTAGACAACAAACTGAAAATTACATATCACATCTCCATCAATTCTCCTTTAATCACCTTCTGTGATTAAAAGAACACAGGAACGCACTTCTTTTTCTGATTTATTTAGACTGAGATCTTAACCATCACTCTGATCTCTGTCATTTCCATTTCCTCCTCTGGCAGCAATCCTTCACTGCCAGGAAGTGCCAGCAGGCCTTCATAGAAAGCCAGATTCCAGGTACAGACCACCAGCCTGCTGCCACTCCGTTTAAAACAACAAGCAAACAGAATCCCAGGTTCTACAAGCATCTCTCTCCTGCTCAATCTGTCATTCCAAAGAGTCACACAGGGTCGGAGACAGCAGTGGTCAACGTTTTTCTAGCTTTACCGGGCATAGTACCAAAATCACAGAAAGTGCTGGCCATCCAGGGGCTACACATGAGTCCTCATGGGCAGCTGGGCACCACGGGAGACATCCACACGTTAGTCTCGGTGTGCTGAAAGCGCGCCCGTCTTCCGCAATCAAAGAATCTGAAGGTGTGCGGAGAGGAAACAGATTTGGGCTCTTAGTAGGGCGCTCTGTATCTTTTCCTTTTCTAGGTCAGAGGTCTGGCCGGAGCAGCGCTGTGCCCATCAGTGCTGCCCCATGGCTTGACCCGTGGGGGCTTCACGTGGGTTAGGGATGGGAAGAGGTGAGAGGAATCGGGCTGGTGGGAGGGGCGTGGGCTGGCTGCTGTGTCCCAGCGATGCCTCAGGCTGTTCTAACAGGACCCTGCCTGGGGTTCCAAAGCTGGGAGCAGGGTCTCAGTATCCCCATTCCCTGCCTGACAACGTCACAGCGCATTCCTTCAAGACGCAATGGCAAGGCCCCACTACAGGTTCCCAGCTTGGGCAGAATTCTCCCGTACCCAGGAGTGCAGGACAGGAGGAACACCAGATCATTCACGGCTGCAAGGCCTGGACGTCACCCCACCACCTCTGCTGAATGCATGCAGCCAGTCAGCACAAACATAATTCGGTGCCTGGCGAAACAAAGAATAGGGACTCCATCTCCCAACTGTGAGTTTGCAGGTGTACGAGAAGCACCACGTTTCACACCCGGAGGAGGAACAGGGGCTGTGCGCGCCGCTGTATCACGCGATACCACTGCCACCCGTGTGACAACGTGGAGGCTCATTCCCACAAGGGCTTCTAAACGCACAGCGAATCAGCGAAGCTCTCCAAGTTTCTCTGCAGCGAGACGTCTCCACCGTAACCACTTCTGCGCAAACACTGAAACCGACTCCGCTCGCTGACGCCTCTGAGGGACGAAGACCAGCGCCTGCGGCCGCGCTCGGCTGTGCCAGCGCCCGGCCTTGAGGACCCCGGGCTCCGCAGCCGCTCCCATCGGCCGCCTGACCTTCACCCGCCGGGATCCTCCCTAAACCAGAGGCCAGCCGCTAAGGCGACTCAGAAACCCCCGCAGCGCGAGACGCG